AAAGAGAAAACTAGCACAGAAAAAACAATGCCTTACTGTGGGCTCTCGTACACCCCACCTTTTAAAACGGGACAGGAAATATTCTGACCTGCTGCTTTTCATATTTGGCCTCTGCCCCTGCAATCTAATGGTTAAATTTGTCCATTCAAGGCTTCAAAAAATCCACCTTCAAATGATGAGCCCCACTCGGGTCCATGATCCTCCTGACGTCACCGAGCTTCTTCCGGCTGAGCAGACAGCCCGGCCACGCCTGAGGTACAGGCATTCCTTCCACACTGTCTTCTGGCAGGTTCTTTCCCATCCCGATGGTAAGCTCTGACACCCCAAGATAGTCCAAGAGCTTGTAGGCAGGGCCTTCCATCAGGAAGCAGCTATATAAAGACGGAGACCTCCACTCCCTTAGCACCCCATAAAAGAGGGTGCAGATTATGTCTCTGGGGAGAAATGAGGTAGGAAGTTAGGGCTGCAGCTGGACTGGTCCAGAATTGGGTGTAATCTGTTCAAGTCCTTGAGTCCCAGGGCACATGCGCAGAACACAGAATCTAGGATGACTACAGTTCCTGAGCATTGTACACAGAACCAATCAGAAAAGTGCTGTTTTCAATTCTTCATTTACATCTGGCATGCAACCAAGCAAGTCTTTGATAGGAGAGTTTAAACCTGGTCGCAAGGTCAAGTGAGTTTTTTGAGAGGTCAGGCCCAAATGCCTGATTTGCGTGAGAAGTCAGTCTAGGCATTGCAAATATAAAAGACACTTCTCTTGATCCTCATGGCTTCTGTGAGTCTGTTCATCAACCCACACTCACTCCACCTTGATAACTGTACATAACTACATTTTCTGTGTGTCCTGTCCAACTCTTTGTTCAGAACTCTAGAAACCTAGAAAAAAAAATTCCCTAAGTCCCATCAAATAGTAACAAGGGCATGTATAAAAATAAAAACAAAACAGATCTTTATTCTGTTCTCATTTGACTCAATTTCACTCCAGCTTCTTGGAACAAAGATAAAAATTTATAGAGGTTGAGACCAACTTGACTCAAGCAAAGAAAAAAGAAAAGAAGGTACAACTAGGTGAGTCCTAAGGCTCTAAAGGAGAGCCTAGGGGTTGTTGGAGCTGGCTGTGGCTGTGCTGCTCAGGGAGAGATTGGTGGGAACAGGATCTCAGTGGAAGTGTAGCTGGGTCCCAGTCCCATCAGAGTCCA